AAAAAAATATAGAGTTTCATTTAAAAGAAAAATTCAATTGCATCAATGCATTTATGAAAAATCTGGCATTATAAGTAGTATGATAGAACCTGACAAATACTGTAAAGTTTTCCTTCATAATTTTTTTCTAAATCATTGAAAAGAGAATTATAGTCTGTCTCAGTTATTAAATACTGTCTATATATTTTGTATATATTTAAAGGAATAATATATAGTCACTTTTATTTGAATTTTACTCTGTATTCCATTATATTTTGTATAAATACTTATACAGATCTATTTAATTTTAGACGTCCTTAGCAAATGTTATAGCACATATATGTAAAAATAATTCAAATGGCAAAATAAGATACATTAAGTTATCTGCAGCAATGGCTGGAGTTAATGAATTAAAAGAAGTTATTACCGTAGCTTCTAATGAATTAAAATTTAAGAGACGCACAGTAGTATTCATGGATGAAATACATCGGTTCAATAAAACTCAACAGGATATATTTTTACCTCATGTTGAATCTGGAACTATTACATTAATTGGTGCTACAACAGAAAATCCTTCCTTTAGTTTAAATTCTGCACTTTTAAGTCGGTGTAGAGTGATTGTGTTGGAAAAACTATCTGTTTCAAATTTAATATCTATATTAAATCGAGCTGTATCTTCTTTGAATGGAATAGTACACAATACAATAAAAAATTTGGAAGACTCTAACGAAATACCAAAATTTATCATAGATAAAGCTACCATAGAGTGGTTAGCAGAAACATGTGATGGTGATGCCAGAATAGCTCTAGGTGGTCTTGAATTAGCAATTCAATGTAAAGTATCGAGTGAAGAAGAACTTTTAGTTAATCCTGTTACAATTACTTTAGATGATATTAAAGAAAGTCTCAAAAAGTCCCACATGTTGTATGATAGGAAAGGCGATCAACATTATGATATGATTTCTGCTTTACATAAATCAGTCAGAGCAAGTGATGAGAACGCTTCTCTCTATTGGTTAACTAGAATGATATTAGGTGGTGAAGATCCAGTTTATATTGCCCGGAGATTAGTAAGAATGGCATGTGAAGATATTGGTTTGGAAGACCCAAAAGCTCTTGGTAATATTAAATTTTCATTTACTATTTCTTGTTTGTAGCATTCAAATCGTTATACATTGAAATAGTTTTGAAAAATTATTTATAGGAATTGCTGTACATACAATGCATAGCTGTAAAATGATTGGAATGCCTGAATGTGATGTCCTTTTAGCTCAATGTACAACATATTTAGCAAGAGCACCAAAATCAAGACTAATGGAAGATGCACTTAGAGCTGCTCAGAAAGTAGTTGCTGAGTATAAAGGTCCTCAACCAGGTGTACCATTACATTTAAGAAATGCCCCCACAAAATTAATGAAAAATCTTGGTAACTATTTTATATCATATTATATCATGTTTTTATTTAAAGTACAATTCAAGAACCATGTAAAACTGTATACAAATATTATTTTAGGATATGGTAAAAGCTACAATATGAAACAAAAACACGAATCTGGATTATGTTACTTACCAGAGGGATTAGAACATGTAAATTTCTTTGATGGAAATGAAAACTACATGACATAAAGATTTAAAATATCGTAGAATTTTTTTATAAATTTATTATAATATAATTATAATGTTGAGTTTTATATACCATATTATTACAGCCACAGTATTAGTTACCAAATCTAATCAGAATCTATAGTTTTTATACTGTATTAAAAGTAAAATATATAAATATAAATGTTATGTATATTACAATAATGTTTAAGAAACTTTGTATGTCAGATATTATAGTACTTTGTTTCATACATATCATGTTTTTTCACTTTGATTATTTTCATGCTGTGTTATTATCATTTATTGACATTTTTGCCATATGATAGTTTTATTATTTGCAGGCATATTAATAATGTCTATCAGTTTAATACCGTTTTCTTTCGCCAGTTCTTTCAGATCCTTAATATCACGTAAACCCCAACTTGAATCTTGAAGTCTTAAAGACTTATCAAAGTTGACATTACTTTCTGGCGTTATTTTTCCATCTATAGCATACGGTCCATAGGTAAAAAGAAAACCATTATCTTTTAATAATTTACCTGCATTTTCAAATAAACGAATAGAACATTGATAAGGAGAAATATGCATCATATTTGCATTGTATATATAATCGATGCTAGCTTCTTTAAAACTACCATTATCCCAAACACTGAAATCGGTAGTAATATCTATTTTTAGTGGTTGTTTTACATTTGCAAACCCGTTTGCATATGCTGATATACTGTGTAACAATCTTGGTTCATATTCCGATGGATAAAATGTCACATGTGGGAAATGAGGAGCAAAATGAGCTACATGTTGTCCAGAACCAGATGATATTTCCAGAAAAATTTGATCTGCACCATATTGAATGTATTTTCGAAGAACTGAAAGTATTGGATCTTTATTACGATCAGCTGCAGGATAAATAAGTTTTTTCGAGGCCATGATTTTGGACCTTAAAATAAAATTCAAAATATTAATTACTCTTACCATATAAATAATAATTATTTTTACAGAATTACGTATACTGAAATCTCTTGTAATTTAAAATGTATTTTATTATTTTAAAGAGTAGACAAAAAAGAAAAGGAAAAAGATTAAAAAGATTATTCTTACCTATGATAAGCAGCACAATGAACAATAGTATTCATGCTTAATCATCACATTGGTATTGTTTTCTGCCTGAAAAATTCAAATATGAACATACTGAACTTGTAAAGAACAGGTATTAAAAATGAATTCAAACTTTGAGGTTTTATTAATAATTCTAAGGTAAATGTCTAATTTCATTAAAGTTCCATACAATATAGTAGGAAATTTTTACACAATATTATTTAATTTTTTAAAAATAAATATTATAATATTACTTATTTTTAGGCACTAATGTCACAAATACACAACATCAACGTGTAATATTAATATAAGAACTTTTTCTTGAAATTTTTAAATGAGATAAGGTATGGACACAATATGTAAAAGTCACGAACACATAATCATTTATGAGATAAATTTATTAAGTGAATATTTATCACACATCTTAAATTAATTACACAGTAAACTAAACTATAATGAATATATATATATATATATATATATATATATTCCTTAGTTTTATTCATGACTCTTTTTATCATTGTTTCCCTTATTTTTATTTGAATTTTCTTGATTTTTCTTATTTTTTGTTGCATTCGGAATATATACAGAATGACCCGTTTTCTTCAAATGTTCGAACAATTTGTTTTTACTAGGAAATTCTGATTTGCATGTAACACAACAGTGCGTCAAATTTGGAACATCCATCATTTGTGAAATTTTTTTAACTTTATTTTCATTTTCCTTTTCTGGTTGTTTGTTTGACTTTTTGCTAGCTTTAGTTCTCTTAGTTTTAGATTTACTATTGGTCGTAGTATTTATTTCTAAATTCTCATAGTGTAATTCTGCTACATTTATTTCTTTTTCTACTTGTTCTTCAGTCCCCTCAATTTTATCATTAGCTTCCTGTTGAATAGTTTCTAAAATTTTATTTAACGCAGCTTTCTTTTGTTGCTGCTTTTTGCGTTGTTTTTTTGATAAAAATATATCCTCTTTGTCACTTTTATCTTCTTCGTCACTAGTTTCCTCTGTTAATGGATTTTGAACATTCTTCTTTCGTTTCTTCTTGTTTTTTTGTTTCTTAGATCGAAAAGTTTCCTCTTCTTCTTGATCAGAAATAAGTTCCTCTTCAGAAGTTGTAGATTCATTGTCATTTTCAATTGTACGTGGTGGAACATAAATGGCATCATCCATTTGTGGCCCTACAGCCAAAGTTACATCTTCTGGAATAATATCACTATCTGCAGAACTTTCAAATTCTTCATCATCTTCTATCATTGATATCTTCATGGCAGTAATATTATCTTTGTGTTTTTTAGAGTTTTCATGATTTGTAAATGATTTATGTGTTTTAAATAGTTTGTTGCAAGCTACACAATATAAAATATTATCTTCTACTGTATTTTCATCTATTGTGTCTTCTTCGGAAGATAAACTCTCACCGAATTCTTGAGCAAGATTAGCTTCGATACTTTTAAGTTCAGCTTCTATGTTTGAAAATTTAGACCATTCGCATTCTTTATATTCTTTCAATTGTTTTTGTTTCTCTAATAACTGTTGTCTTATTCTTCCTTCTCCTTTCTTCAAATTTTCTTTCGCACGTTCTGCAAGTTTTGCTGCGTAAGCCTGTACACGTTTGTCACGTTTACGTACGAAGGTCACCAGATTTCGTACTTGTTCATTTCTTTCTCTTTTAGCTTTTTCTCGAATCTTTTTATTCTCTTTTTCGATCAATCGTCCTACTCGTCTATTTGGAGCATCTCTAATATCATAAGGATCTAACCAAGCAAATGATTTCTTTGTACTATAACTTTGCCAATAAGCATAAAAATTATGGACTACTTTTTCGTATGAACTTTGCGAGTCTCCGAATCTTGGAATTTCTTCATCAGAGTCTCCTTCTTTTACAAATTCTGCATCTTCAGCTTCTAATTTCTCGAAAACATTACGGTAGATAGTATAAAATCCTTTTTCATCATCTCCATATCCTTTAAAGCATGCAGTTGAAAAATATTGAGTAAGGTCAAGAGAATCATCTTTGTAATCTTCTCCAATGCCACCTTTTAAGATAGCTTCACGGTGATTATCATACCAAGTACGAGAATGAGGATCACTTAATACTTCCCATGCTTGTTGAACAAGTTGAAACTGTTCCTTTGCCTCTTCTGGATTATCTAAATTTTTGTCTGGATGCCATTTTAATGCTACTTTTCTGTAGGCTTTTTTTAAATCATCATCAGAAGCATTTCGTGCAACTCCTAATATCTCATAATGACACTTCATTGTAATAATGAATGTTTTATATCCACGTTGTTAAAAGTTGATGTGCAATGTTGTGTAATACAAAGCTATACAAACCATATGCTAAAAGAAGTAAGATTAACTCTTCAAAAGTAAGAAATATTCAGTATTGTAGCATACATGTTTATTTATTAAAAATTTCCTATTTTGAGTCTGTTTATATCATACATGTAATATAAATTGTATTTATATTAATAGATCAAAAAATATCTTACCAAATGTTATATAACAACGTACATCCAACTATAATTTAATTACTTTTGTTGAAAACATAACAGAGCATAAACGTCAGTTTTATTAATTCTTCGACAAAACTTTTAGTAAAACTTTGTAGAATTTCAAATTTTAGGTTATATATTGTGTTGCACGTAAGATAATACTATCCATGAAGTTATCGTTAGTTCAATACATTTGTCACATTTATTTCGAGATTTGTGACATCTATTTAAAAATTATGCAAATACATATTTAGGTTCGTATTTTCAAATAAGACATTAATATAATTTGATTTTTATATAATAATTACATTAATTCATTTTAAACGTTACTAAAAGTTCTTTTGCAATACGAATGTTTCATATGGCACATGCAATGGTTGACGTTTCCTTATACAAAATTTTTTAAATGTAATGAAGGAAGCATGTTATCCACGTGATTTTCCTAACTGTAATAATCTTAACCTAATAATTGAAACAGACATTTTTGGTCAAAATTGTCTAGTTTTTACAATATAGATATCTGAACGAAATTAAACACATTGTAGTTTGATGTCACGTTATATGAAAGGAAATATGATTTTGCTAGGGACCTTTTGACGTGGAACAGCTGATTGTATGCGTTATTCGTCTGACTATTCTCAACATCAAAATGGCCGCGGTCGTGAGAGTGCAGTAAGGGTTGTATGATTTTTGGCATATATCGCCAGTTTCGACGTTTGGAGCCGTTGTCATTAACATTCAGTATTTTCGGTAAATATTTCTATATTTTTTTATATAGACCAAGCGTTGGTTTGTTAAAGTAACTGTATATAAACGCAATAAAATCGAAACACTGCAGATTGTCAGTGACATCTCGTGAATGTGATATAGCAGACGCCTCTAATTGCTTTTAATAGGTTTTCTTCGAAATCCTTAGTGTATCGCGTTGTTGCGATGGACTTTGTGATAGATGCTTGTCAAGCTGTTTTTGCTACGGAAGAAGAATTGATTTGTTATCAACGAAAATACCTGCTGTTAATATCCATGTAACGCTGATTATTCTTCGACTACTCTATAACAAGGTTTTGTCATTTATTTATTACGGGATTATTTTATTGCATTTGCCAGTTAATAGCCTATGTTGAGTTACATTTCTTTTAATTACTCGTATCTTATGTATCGTAACTAAAATCTTATTTTGGAAGCAGAAATTTCATCATTATACTTTTTTAATTGATACATGTGTTTAGCCTGAGTATTGCATTTTTGCATTGCCATAATAAATAGTTTCTACACTAAGTGATAAGTTCATAAAATATAAATTTATGAGAGAAAATATAATTCTTATAACATAAATTTAATATAATAATATGTCATTTGAAATTGCGAATGTATAAACATTATATAATGCAATTAATATTAATTATAACAATGTTTTTATTTTAAAAAAATATTAATGTCACATATTATTGTTATAAAATTATTTTCATTAAGGATGAGAATAACCATATTATGTTTTCACATTTATATATAATTAATCCAATGTTTAAATAAATTCTAGGTTGAATATTAAAAATGACAGTTGGTACAAGTTTGGTAGTACCTATAGTCCTATGGGGTCGCATAGCTCCGACTCATTGCATTTCCTGTATTTATTTATCCCGAGATCAAAAAACTTTGGTAACAGGATGTTATGATGGTCAAATATGTTTGTGGCAAGTAGATCCTGAAGTATTAAAGGTAAACAAATATATTTCTTCATCGTTGACATTACATAATTTTATTAGAAATATGATAATAATGAAAAGGTTATATGTTAAGATGACTCCAAGATGTTTACTCGTTGGTCATACTGCTCCAATAATGTGCCTCAGTCGAGCAAGCGTTATTATGGAACAGAATTATATTGTTAGTAGCAGTGAAAGCGGGGAAATGTGTACTTGGGATTTAGTCGATGGAAAATGTAGAGAAGCTGTGAAACTTAGCAGTGTTCATACACAAATGTTGCCTTATGTCTCTGCTGGTGGAGAAGATGTTAGACTTTTTTGTTCTGGGTATTTATGTCATTTTTATAAATTACACAATATATATTTTTTCACATAAATGTTTCTATGTTTCTAAGTAGTGAGAACATTTATTTTATAATTTTAGATATTATCCTGAGGTTTTAGTAATGGACCCCTTCAGTTTGGAAGTTTTATTTACTCTGAGTTCACGTGTTAATCCCGATTGGATCAGTGCATTGCACGTTTTGCGGCCGGCCAAACGGAAAGGTCGGTTCTACGTGCATACAAGTTAGTTACACTTCATCACACCTACGCTTTTTACCATAAGCTGCTACCTTCTTTCTTTTTCTCTTTCACACTCTCTATCTATCTATCTATCTATCATCTATCTATCTATCTATCTATCTATCTATCTATCTATCTATCTATCTATCTATCTATCTTTAGGATATATATTGAGTTTTTCATATTCTCTGCAGTAACAGAATTTAGTACTGTGAAAAAACAATCAAATTATAATTTAATTCTGCCATTTAAATTTTGGTTGATATTTACTTGCATAATATATTTATTATCTTCTTGTTTACTACTTTCTTATATACTTTCTGCTCAAATTCTGTATTAAATATTAAAAGTATCAATAAATCATTTTATTTAAGCACTAGTATTTTTAAAGTATTTATAGTATTTCTAGAATATTAAGTTTTGATAAAGCAATTACTGGATATTGAGGTTTACATATGTAAATTTCACATTTTTGGGGGGTTTTCAATATTCGACTAATGTTTCTTAAGCAATTAACGCGAAAAAGCTTTTCGCTTTGGGTATATTAGGAATTTATATTTACTTAATTTTCTCAATAAGAAATTTTCATTCATAATGACTTAATGACAATAATGTTAGAAAGGTACACTGTACTATTTAATAAAAATAATTATTATAAACTATTGAAATTTTAATAGAAATTATAATGTTGCAGCATGTTAATGATTGACGTATGAAGAAATATCAGTGCTATTACATTGGTAGCTGTATCATATGTATTTCATATCTTCTTTCTTTCTTTCTCTGTTTGTTTTCATTAAGAATATCAATGAGCAGGAATCGTTAACAATTCAGCTAACCATCCTTTTATGCTAATCCTTTACATTTGCTATTCCTTTGACACAAATCCGTCACCAAAGAGTACATTGCATTCACTTACACTCATTTGCATTCACTTGTAATCACTTTCATATCATTTATGGGTGAAAAATTGTATCTATAGTAAGTATGTACTATATTAAATTTATTGTTCTATAAATGTTCGCAATGTTTAACTGCAATGAATGCAATATTTAGAAGTTTTATAATTTCAAAAGAAAGGTATCAAGATTTAATTTACATTTATTTGTTATTGCATTGTTTTTATTTAATGATTTTTACTTTAATCGATACATAAATAGTTTAGTCTTCTTTTTATATATTGTAATTTATAGAAGAAAATGAATTGCAAAACTTTTGCATTTACTGTTCATGACTGATTATTTACTTTCACAGTAGATTGTGTTTGTAATGATAAATACTTGTTTATTTAGTATTTAAGTTCTAAAGTAGAATCTTATTATTTAACAAAAATCAAACAAATTTATGTATACAAGGCTTAAGCATGTTAGATTTCGATACATATCTTAGAAGTTTAGTATGAAATTTATTAATAATTTAAGATATATGTTCATATGAATATATGAATCTTGATATCTGAAATATGTTTGACATTGTTTTATACTCATATAAGGTGTTTAAAAAATGTAGTAATATTTATATGGTACATAAGACACACTAAGTAATAGGATATACTGAGTAAAAAAGACCTTAGTGAACATAGGTCGAAATTTCAATTGTTTCTAAAATATAAACATTTTTATATATTAACCATACAATGTGTTCCTGCAAGTGAGATCACCTAATTTTCTAAAAAAATATGAGTGATACGAACAAATGTTCTGATGTTATTATTTGTTCGATCTTGGCGTGACCTTAAGGTGTTCTACAAAGGTCACATTAAAACTTTTAAATAGGACTCTACATTTTCTATTGCATACTTTTGTAGCTGACATTTACAAGGGAAAGACTTCAATTATCTGACTTCGGTTTTGATAGTTTTTTGAGATGATGGTATACAAGTTCCTAATGATATGTGTAAAATATTAGGTGTAGATACTCAATAGTTTTGGAAATACAAACAATTACGGTTAAAGTAGACATGTTTACAGCTTCGTAACTCGAAGATTCTGAGGTCGATTCCAGATCTCCGTACTATCCAATTTTTATTTTCTTTTTAATTTTACTTTTTCCTTATTTTAAACTTATTTTTTTACAATGGCATTTTTCAATTCAGCATTTATCAGATGTTAGTGGTGTCTGCATTGTTATGCTTCACGTGTGTTCTCGATTATTATCATTCAACATTATGCATGTATTTTTCATAGTTAAAAAGAAATAAATAAATGAAAATTACCATGATCTGGAATTGATGTCTGCATCTTCGTGATATGAAACAATCGACAAATCCACCTGAACATAAATGTTTCGGTTACTAGTGTCTATGATTATAATACATCCAGAAGATACGTAACTTTAATTGCTTATATTTCCAAAACTATTGAGTAACTATACCTAATATTTTACACATATCATTAGGAACGTGTATACTATCATTCCACAAAAAACTATTAAAATCGAAGTCGGACAATTGAGGACCTTTCCTTGTTAGATGCTTCCAGTATATTGCAAACTTGTTATTTTCGCATAAACCGTTACCGAGATATGAGAATCCAAAGTTAGAAGTATTGCTCACGATCAGTCGGATTTTGATAACCGTTTATGCGAAAATAACAAATTTGTAGTATCTTGAAGACACGTTCACATATAAAAACGTTTATACTTAGGAAATGATTGTAACTTCAATCCATGTTTAGTAACTAGTTGTTTAACTTAGTATAGTATGTCTTATTCATCACGTAAATATTGCAACACATTTTTCAAATGGCCTGCATATAATATTCTAAATATTATTGAGCATATACTAGACTTTTAAGGTAACTTATGCATGATTTAAATGAGCATGAAAAAATTAAGTAAACATAAAGATATAATTATATCTTTAGTGTAATACAAGATATTTTATTTTACATGTAGTAATTGTATTCTATTATATTTAATATTATGTAATTAGTAAGTGTTTTAAATATTATATTTATTTTAATATATTCATTTAACAATATTAAAATATTATTTTCCAATTGAAACATTTTGTGATTGTGAATGCATTTGTAATATTTGTAAGGTGCTACTTTATTGACCCTTACTAAAATTTCTTTTGCTTAAAATGCTATGACACCTTCTTAGATGTAGTTAACGCGCAACAGGCGCTTCCATTAATTTAAAGACGACGTTGTGCTGGCCTTAACAACAACTGGCACGGTGAAGGTGTGGACTCTTCTTGGACATGAGAATCGAAATAGCGAACCCCTTTATGAACATGAAAGTAAACAGATACAATGTCTTAATGCACTTGCGATGACCTGTTGTCCATATAATCAGAGGACTGTGTTAATCGTGTGTTCTAAAGACTGGCAGGTACTCATTACTATGTTTTTTTTTTCTAATTAGATTGAGATGATTTTTTACTAATATATTTTTTCAATCAGATATATGATGCTGGTGATTTCTCAGTCCTGTGTTCAATTTCTGCACCTCATGGTGAACGATGGATGGCTGGAGATTTTCTAGCTGCAGATAGAGTCATTATTTGGAGTGATGAAGGTCGTGGTTACCTGTATAAATTACCAGCTAAGTAAGTTCATAAGAAGTACAATTTTATTTCTCTGTTTTACTACTCTTGTTACCACTTTTAAGTCTTGAATATTCTATTTTAATACTCATATAAGATATTAATACTTAATTATTTTTTTAATTAGTAGAAGAGCTTGTAAATTATTCATAACATCCAATATTTGTAAAATTCCTGACCATATAATACGTCTTTTAGTTATAAATTCATTGATTCGGTTTACTTAAAAGATTATTCGTTTCTTGCTTATAGGACTTTGGTACACCTTGACAGGTAGATTTTCTGAAAATTAGTATTGTAATTAATTTTAAATATAAAAATTAACCAATTTTTGTTATGAGAAGAATATTACTAGACAAAGATGCTTACATTTTGTAGCATGATAAAAGATACTAATACGCATTTGTTTGCTCTAACAAGAATTTGAACAATTAACATACCCAGAATTCTTAATAAAACAAGAACTGTCAATTTAAAAGTAAAAGGTGTATAAATATTTAAATAGAAACATATTGTTTACTTATAAATTATAGTACGGTATGTTAAAAGACATACGAAAAATAAGTTTATTAATATTAAATATGTCATGGTATTTGAAACACTACTAGTATCTCTCCAAATGTAACTTCCTATTACTCAATATTTTTTAATAAGTTTCATATAAATATGTAGATGAATTCATATTATATTAGTCAGCTGCACTGATATTTAAATTAAGCAGAAGCTTTAATTTCAATCCCATATGTTATTCCATAGAGGCACCTGCTGGCAATGCACATATTTAATATTTGTTCTCTTTGTATTTCTTTATATCATTTTCCATAAACATTCATGTCCAATTATTAAGTGGGAAGTAAAAATTTGAATTTCATTTTCACATTTTTTTCTTCAAGCAAAATATAGTATTAATAAAATTTTCTCTAAATACTTAGTTCTTTTCACGCGTATCTTTGTTCCTTATGAAGAATTTAATATTACATAACAATCTACATACATTCTGTATAGTGGATATGCAAAATCGAAACAAATTTTTACACGTTTGTATTAATATGTAAAATTCACTGTGTTTATTTAATACATGGGTAAAGAATACCAAAAACAACAGATACATATACATATTACAAACATATAGTTAGTGCTATATCTACTTTTTATGGTGATGTGTCTTTTTCATATAATACACATCTACTACATCTTATTTCATCTACTGCATTCTACGATGGATCTGGTGTTCTTCTAGCAAGCTGAAGGGCAAGGCTCTCAGCAGGTAACCCTGCATTATTTCTACAACACATTTCTTCTCACGTTCCTTGTATTTCTTCTGTTACACTCTATGTTTCTGTTTGTATTCACTCTGTTAAATATATTGCTCTTCTACTGATTTCCCTTTTATTTAAAAATAATCGATTATATCTATTAAATGTGTATGAGATGTATACACATCTTTCTATAAGTGTTTGTATATGTTAACACAATAGTTAAGTATATCGCAAAATTATAACTTTTTATTATTTGTATAATAAAGCTCCATGATTCATTTATAATTTTTTTCAATTGATAATTTATTAATGTTAAATAATACATAAATTTCATTGTATATAAATTTTGTTATAGGTAGACATAAGTAGTAAGTTTATAATTTGAGAATATTTACT